CAAATTGCACACCTCTGAACATCACCCTCTCAGATTTTTTCATTTTTTGCTAGAGTCTAGGCTAGCATAAAGAAAGCCGCAAAGAAAACTCTGGAAAAGTAAATTTCCCGCCAAGTTACACCCCCGCAAAGTTGCAAAATTTGCGAGGTTGCCGCTTGACATGCCTATCTTTGGAGGCTTGTAATTTGGCCCGTTCTCAACAGAATTCAACGATTTTTGATCTTGTTTCTTATTTCCTGAGCTTTTAAAAAAATTTGTCGAATAGTTTAATTCCAATGAAAATTTACAAATATACAATAAAAACAATTTTTCAAACAAGCATAGAAAAAAAACGTGTTTTTAAACTTTTTAAAAAGATATATTTCATGTAGAATTTTTTTCTCTACAACATATCAAAATTTGGAAATGGCGATTTCCCGATATCAAGAGTTACGAGCCGGGAAGGAATGTGAAATTAAAAAAAAACCCGCTATTTTACTGTAATCCCATGTATTTCACAGTGGCAAAATCATCCGGAGCCGCCTCTAAAGGCCGCAACTGGCAGCTACAAATATCCGGTATGCTTAAAACAATAAAAATTCGCTACCAAAGTTGTACTGTACTTTAACAATATTAAGAAAGTGTTATTCTGCAGAGTTACAAAAGGTAGTCTTTACCCCAGCCCTTTCTAGAATTTGTTTGTCGCGGTTTCTGAGCTCTTAGAATTGCCTCTGTCTTGTACTCGTTAGAGTTTTCGTTAGACCGACTTGTTCTTTTTTGAAATTATGTGCTGCAATTCTCCAAAAACGGAAAGTTTTGAGAAAACCCTTGATCTAACAGTTACCCAGGTAAAGCAATGAGGTCTTGGACTTCTTTGCGACACCAAAATGTATATTTGCTGCATAGTTGTGACAGGATAAAACACAAGAACTAGAAAGGGCTGGAGTAAAGACTATTTCTTGTATCTCTGCAGAATAATAATTTGTTAATATTATTAAAGTAAAGTACAACTTTGGTAGCGAATGTTTAAGCTTTGAAGCATACCGGATATTTGTAGCTGCTAGTTGCGGCCTAATGAGGCGGCTCCGGATGATTTTGCCACTGTGAAATACGTGGGATCACTGTAAAAATAGTGGGTTTTTTTCAGTTTCACATTCCTT